ACTTTTGCTAACAACAATTGGAGAACTACAGCAAATTACTACAAAAGCATTCCATAGCTAGGGAGACTGAAATGCTGAACTGAACTCAGGGAGCCCTGACCACTACAGGGAGGCACCCATCTGATTCTCTGAGCAGGGACACACTGAGAAGCAGGCTGTATTCTGCAAACCACACTCACTGTACTTTTTAAAATGATGTAAAACCTTGTTGAGAAATAAGGTTTCATATCAAAGAAGTGACTTCATAGATGGTCTCTCTCAGAAGTGCCCTGTGGAACAAGCTTATTTAAATTCTATTTCCATAGAACACCGAGTCCTTGTCCAGGTTCCACTGAACTCACAATCTTCACATACTTATCAAGCTTCTAAATCATGTCTACCTGTGCCTTACACACACACACACATGCATGCATGTGTGTGCACACGGAAAAGATTTTAAACTGCTCCCTAAAAGATTGCCCTTGCCTGGGTGCTGTCCTTGGTGCTAGATCCTATTTTTTCAAGACTAGTATTATCTATTCCTACACAAGGGTGTTTTCAAAGAGTAAAGAGAAGGAAGCTCTGAGTGATGGATTTGGGTTCTGAGTTGGAATGGTGTACTAGAATCAAGGAAAAGGGGTACACAGGGATGAGGACATGGCTCAGTCACTGCAGTACTTGCCTTTCAAGGGTGAGCATTCAGTCACCAGAAGTCAGATGAAAAGCATGCTCTTATAATCCCAGTGATGACGAGATGGGAAGTAAAGACAGACAGATACCTGGGCTCTCACAAATAGCCTCGTCTTCTTGTTCCAGGCAAAAGTGAGATTCTGTTCTAAACAAAGAGAAGAAAGTGCCTGGGGCTTGACACTTAGAGCTATCCAGAACTACACATGCATATATATGTTTACTCACCTCTGCACAGATATACACTCATGAATGGGGATGAGCAGATAGGTGGATAGACAGGTGGACAGAAGGACGGACAGGGGCAGACACACACACACACAGAAAATGATTTTAAATTGCTCCCTAAAAGACTGCCGGTTGGCCTGAGCACCGTCTTTGGTGTCGTTTCTTATTTTTTTCAAATCTAATAAGTATCTATTAAGACTGAAGGCTTACAGGTCACTACAATGGCACAGTGTGAGTGCTAAGTTGTCTTTACATGGGACAAATGTGTTTGCCACTGGAGTCCAGAGGGGTTCATCTTGTGAGGCCAGAACTATTCACAGTGTATTCTCTCCTTTTAAATGTGGCACTTATTTGATTCATGTTGTTCAGGACTTTAAGAAAACAAATCCCAACTGTAATAAGAGTTGGCCAGAGTCATATTAACAGAAGAAGCCGATAGGACCAGGTATGGAATTGAAGATGAACACATAATTGAGTGTAAAGCAGGGAGGCCTGAAAGCAAACAATGAGAAAATTTTACAAAGTCAGCACCTTCTAAAACAATAATCTGATCAGAATATCTTTCCTGGTTTGTTTTTAGGTCAGTACCTTAAGCTCTTACATCCATGAACTTACGATTCACCAGAAATTTATGCCTTACTATTCCCGAAGAAGCTCTTGCTGTAGTGGTCTAAGCTTTGGTATTGCTCCGCTCAGTTACAATAATGAGACAGAGTCAGTCCTTCCAAATGCTGGTTTTATGAAAAGAGGTCTGAGGGGAGAGGGAGAAAGCAGGGACATTTGATTGGCACTTGGTGTTCCTGCCCTCAAGAAGAGTGCATCTGGTCTATGGCCACACCACCCTAAATGTGCCAATCTAGTCTCATGTCAGAAGCTAAGTAGGGTCTGACCTGGTTAGTCCTTGAGTAGAAGACCATCTCGGTTACATCTGTGTTTGCAGCACAGACCCAATTAAAATACTGCATTCCAGTTATTAATGTGGTCTTAATATGATTAGTGAAGCCAAATCCTATAGCTTAGAAGGTCCAAAAATATTTAGCACAGAGCACAACAAATTCCTTAGTCAAAAGTCCTATATGGATAACACTCCTTCATTGGATAAATTTCATCTGAACACTGATTGACAGTAGTTGCTGGCAGGAGCCCTGGGGTAAGTTAGCCACACAGCACAGGTCAACATTGTACACTTTATCCCAAGTACATCCCTATCTGACTTGTTGGATTGCTTTAAATGACAGAGAGAAAGAGGGAGAGGGGGAGGAGAGGAAGGGAGGGAGAAGGGAGAGAGAGAGAGAGAGAGACAAAGAGAGAGAGAGAGAGAGAGAGAGAGAGAGAGAGAGAGAGAGTCAGAAACATGCAAAAGGGTCTTTCCAAGAAGAGGCTCTGGTAGGTAAACCCTGAACATTTGTCTCAGGGAAAGCTGATGGGAAATACCACCTAGAAAACAGCAATGTGACCACCATTAGTAGAACATGCAACCCTCCCTGTTGGGTGACCACAAAGCTCTACCTCTGCTGAGCACTTCCTAAGGGCAAGCACTTAGCATCATCACAGTTAGCTTCTGGACAGCCACAAGCATGCCTGACTTAGTAGGCACTTGCAAATAGACTGGGATGGAAATGTGTGCATTTTACAAGTGATTAGCATAGTCTTCTCAGCAGAGCTTAGAAAGGACAGTTTCTTGCTAAAAGTATTCTACCATCCTGGAGGAGGGTCCTCTTGTGACTCTCTGGTGCCTGAAGCCTTTGTCCTGTCATTTACGGATTCACTGACTATCCCAAGCTGCCAATTACATGTAGTGAAAAACACAAGTCCCTGGATAGAGGTAAGGCAGCACAGAACATCAGAAGCCTGGGGTCTGAGAATAATGAGATCCTGGGCCCAAAGTGTGGCTGGATTCTGTACTATAAAATGAGGAGAGAATAATTAATTGGAAGACTCCAGGCACTAATACAAGTGAGACCCTTGAGGCTTGAAGGTTACTGAGCAAAAATGACCAGGCCCAGTAGAAGTGACAGTGAAGTCCAGGACAGGAAGGACTAGGAGCTTGAAGTGCACCAATGAGTGCCCAAGACAGTGGTTAGGGAACCACAGGAACCTCTTTAAGCAATTGAGTTTGGATGTGGCTAGCACAAAAGGCTGTTAGGTGCACTGCCTCTCTATGGCTTATACTCAGTGGGAGAGCAGAACTTTGTGGATAACCCAGCCCATGAGAGTGACAACACATCAGCGTGGACAGACACTGCCTGGATGTCACAGCAAGGTTGTGGACCCAAGTACAGCACTTATTTCTCAGTGTATGGTGGTTATGGTCAAGAACAAGCTAGAGGCCAAGCTCTCCTGAATAAACTGAAAAGAGAATGGCCCTGTGCATGCTCAAAAGGTTAGAGAAGAGCCCTGGCTAGGATGGGACAAAGAGGCAGTGTGCATACTTGGGGCTTATCTATGGGGGGAAAGGGCCAAGAACAAGAGCTGCCATACATGGGGAAGAACAGAGGGGTGACATGACCCAGGTGGAAAGGCCAGATAATGTTGTCCAAAAGTGCCCAGTATAGCGGAGGGACAATACAAATACAGTGATATTGTGATTCTAACTCATTTTCAATGAATCATAGGAAATACCTGGTAACATTTTGGGGCAGAATATGGTTACCTGATTAACAAAGAAGCTACGCCAAACTCAAATAAACTGCACTGAACTCAAAGTCATGCCTACATTTACTGAGTCCACAGAGACAGTATCAGTATTGAGCAGCCAGTGCTTTTGTCTGATGTTTACATAACACAAAATATAAATGAGGAAACAAACGTTATTTTCAATTTAAAACTCATGATGCATATGCACACAGTGTACACAGCAAAAGATGACACAAACACACACCATTGGTATTGACACAGCCACTGTACACATGGCTTCCTTTCTGGGTTATGCTGTCCATGCCAATCTGCCTCCAAAGTGATTAGAAATCAATTCAGATGAGAACATTTCTCCCGACATCAACTAAACAGATTCAATTGCCCTTGTTTGGCCCTGGGTGCAAATAGTGTTTAGAATATAGTATGCATGCATGTTAGAAGGAGCAGAAAGTCAAGTACCATACACAAGTTTCTTGGAGATGAATGGACCAAGATTGTAGGTAAATCTGACCTGGTTAAGAAAATCTCCCCATCATATCAGAGCAAGTTTTCAATACTATACTACAAAAAAAATACTCAAAAGTTAGTTATTTTATTATAAGGAAGTTACAACCCCTGACATGCATGTGTGCGACACACACACACACACACACACACACCTTAAACACCTGCTTGGTCTCCGGAGTGAACTGAAGTCTCACAGAACCATTGCTTAACCAACAGCACAGCCAGAGAGTGCGTCAGAAGTCTTGACAGTAGGACAGATACAGGTACTGACGACAGCAGCTGTTTTCTCTACAGACCCACTAAGGGAATATTCTGGGATTTATAGACCAAAAGACAAACCCAAAGAAATATGCATATTCACCTATGTTTTAAATCACAATCTCTATGGTTAGAATGAAACTGCTTGGAGACATACATAATTGAATCATGTTAGAGATAGTATTCTTTGGATTCTTTTTCAAGTATTTAACAATGTAATATCTATCTTGGGAAGCCTAGACAGATCAGTTATGGAGGTGGGGCTAGGATTTGAGCCAGAGGCTATGTGTGTCAAACCCTGCTTTAGCAGGGTAGGAGTTGGTAGGTCATAAAACCAGGCAGTTGTCGGCCTCTAAATCAATGAATGGTTTTCCCCTAGCAGATCTTTTAAAAATACAATAAACATAAAGCTACTTTGAAACATCCCACTCCTCATGGTTATAACACAATCAGATTACACACGTCATCCAGGAGCGTATGTTCACATTCTAAATTTAACTTCAGTGACATCTTGGTTGTAGATGGGTACTGGCTGGTACCATGAAGGCAGAGCACAGTGGTAAACATACAGGCATCTGTTCCTATGGTCACACATGTCACGTCGGGAAGGCGTCTGTATTGAGGCTTCTCTGCTCTGTGAGGTCAGCGGCCGGCCCCCAACCCCCAGCCGCTGATTGTAATGCTCTCCTGTTCTTATCTTGTAGGCTTTCATATCGGACGGGGCAAGACACAGCTAATTGTGACACGTGCAGGAACAGTGCATGTATTATCTATAGGTATGTTAACATTCTCTTCCCACTTTGTTATTCTGAGTGACAAATGATGTTTACCCACTAATGCAAGAAGCAGTGGGACCATGCTGG